TATGCCTCCTTCATTTTTTCTTTAAATCTTTGTAAATCAAATTTCAGACAATGAAATATGACCTCATTAATTCTTCCTTCTGTACAGAATGTTCTGCCTTCCTACTCCCAATATTAAGTCTGATGTCACTGCAGAGGTGCCTTCCCTGACGAGTTTATCTGAGTAGACACATCACCATAATAACTTATCACTACCTGAAGTTACCGTGTTCATTTATTTGCATGTTCTTATCTGTCTCCATTAGTATACAAGGTCCATGAGCGCAAGGACTTTGTCCTATTCACTCCTGTATCTCCAGTCCCTAGAACAGTGTCTGACACATCATGCATGGGCAGTCAACAAATAATACCTATCCTGAAAGATGAGATTTGCATGTGAAATATTAAGCTCACTGCTTCAAAGCTGGTGCTCAACAAACATTAAATTTCCTTCTCATTGATGAGACTAATCATTTCAGTCCCTTGATCAGCAAATATCACATACGTATCATCTTGGATGTAGAGGATGTTATGTACTATTATTCAAAAACATATAGTAAAGGAGTAATGACAATGTGTGAGGTATTCTCTCTTTGTTCCTCCCAATCCACTCCACTCTTTGCCACTCTGGTATGTCCCCAGAACACAGACCTTTAGGACTTCAAAGTGTTCTCTTATTCTCTGACATCTGGCTGAACTTGATCGATGGGAGGTACTATCAGATCAGAAAGAAGGGTGAGATTCTCTTGACTGAGTTCCTTTACAGAAGCTTTATGTCCCTGTTGGGCAGCCCTCTCCTATAGTTCTCTGCAGGCAGTGGTCATGATTTCTTCATGCCTGGGGATGTTATATCCCCTGTTGGTTTCCCTTACCCCTGCCCACACCTTTGTAAATAATCCCTCATTAAAATCTCAATTGTTGAGGAGTGCCATCCTTCAAAATGGAAGACCCATCTGGTTCCTGGTAGACCTCTGACAGACAGAATGAGAAAAAGTGGGCAGAATTACACCATGACCTTCAGTAACACAAAAACACCAAGGAAAGAAGAGCCATGCAGTGACTAGCATGAATGATTGGCCAAAATGTGCACATTTTGTCATATCCAGTTTTGCACCTGAATCGCTAGCTCCTGATTTTGGGTCCCCTAGAAGCAGATGCTGAGACGGAGTTTAAAGTTCAAGGGATCGACACTTATGAAAGGAATGGGGAGAAACCAGGATTGGGAAGAAGAAAAGCTGAACTGCAATGTAGATTCCATAAAGCCTCAGTCAACCCAACGGGGAACTCTAGAGCGAGGAGTGCTTGCCAGAGTGCCCCACATTAGGCTGAAAGGACCCTGCCTTTGTACCCCCTTGTCATTTACTCACTAGGTTCACTAGATCACACAGGAAGGGGATGTCTTGGTAAGGAGGCTCTCTGCAGCTGAGGTAGACCTTGAAGTAGCTGCCAGCCAGAGGCTGTCTGCTAACCACTCCCTGAAGCTGAGAGAAAGCCTTTCCTTGAAGAGGGGATGTTGAAGGCCATTCTCCATGTCTTTCACACCAGTTTGAATCTCAATCTCTCCTGGGCCTTCTCTCTTACTGTATGCATGTTTATCATGGGAACTGTTTCCAAGGGCTCTGTTCTAGTACTGCTTTCCTAGTTCAAAAAACAAAAACCAAACCAAAACCCTTGCTTAATTAGTTCAGCTTCTCCCAAGTACTTTCTAATCAGATTTCTCTATTTTATAAATTGCCAGCTGGTTGAAGGAAATATGTTTCCACTTTAGGAAACCAAGGGTATTAAGAGAGAAGATAGTACTATATAGTGTCAGGAATGACATCACCAAACCGTAGAAGAGCAGTATTCATGATTCTGTCTTCATATTCTCATGGAAATAGCTTCTCTGCGACATTATCTCTAAGATACTGAACATGTGTGTGGCTTTGATGATTCCTCCTTTAGCTTTGATGATTCCTCCTTTAGCAAGTAGGTAATCTTGCCTCCTGCATGGTTTCTTTCTTTCTCTTTTTTAAAAAATATGTCTTTATTGATTTAGAGAGAGGAAGGGAGAAGGAGAGAGAGAGAAACATCTATGATGAGTCATTGACTGGCTGCCTCCTGCTCGCCCCCCACTTAGGGATCAAGCCCACAACTGGGCATGTACCCTGACCAGGAATCGAATCTCAATCTCCAGGGTCCTAGGTCCATGCTCAACCACTGAGCCACGCCGGCTGGGCCTCCTGCATGTTTTCTGAAGAATTCCATAGGCCTTCCAAATCAGCATTCCTTGCTGTTACCATGAAATCTTCTTCAGCAGCTGTATTTCATTTTAATAGTAACACAACATTTGATCTGCAAAATGCATCAGTGATTATATAATATCTAAGTGACTATGACTATAATAGCTAAGTGACTATGACTATTTTTATAGTGAAAATTGATACATTGGTTTCTTTAAGCTAAATGCTCTTATCCCTTTTATGTACTATTCTTTATCTGGTTCTATTAGAGACATAACACTGTGCTACCACTTTTAAGATATCTTATTAAATTATATTTAAATAATCATCTGAACATAAAATGAAATCATCTGAGTGCCTTAGTAGCAAGAAAGTGGGGAGCATTTCTAGCAGGAACAAATCTCTCCAGGCTGGTATCTCAGGCAAGGAATTTTCTTTTTCTTGACTCAAATCTTCAGGCTGGTCAACAGATGAATTTAAATTTGCCTGAGTTCTTAGAATATAATTAAATTAATTCAGAATTCAGCAGTAATAGCTTTAATATTGAATACAAGAAAGGGTAAAATTCATCGTTAGATATTCTCAATTTGATACTATAAATTATACCAATAATTCTGTGCCAAGTTTTGAAGCTGAAGAGCTAATTTTTCTTTAAATGTCTTTGACAACATAGTTTATAGTTTTTAAAAGCATTCCAGAAACCCACCTACACGTTTTTGAGTGTGCATGTGTACAGCTATGCAGTGCTCTGATTGCAAGCCAAATGATCCTCAGATTAATGCTGTCTTAGATTCTTTCTAAGGACATAAAATCTTTTTTTTTTTTTTTAAATATATCTTTATTGATTTCAGAGAGAGGAAAGGAGAGGGAGAGAGAGAGATAGAAACATCAATGATGAGAGAGTCATTGATCGGCTGCAGCCCGCAACCCGGGCGTGTGCCTGACCGGGAATCGAACCCTGATCGCCTGGATCCTAGGTCGACGCTCAACCGCTGAGCCAGGCCCGGCCGGGCCTAAGGACGTAAAATCTTTGACCTGAGAGAGTAGGCTTCTTTGTAATTACTGATTTTGAAAAACAAACAAACAGAAATCACATTTCCTTTTTTTAGGACTTTGAAAGCAAAAGTCCTTCACTTTAGCTTGCTCATGCTCTGCATATTTGTCTTGTGTCAGGCACTAGAGGGGAGTGTGGTGCCATACAAGTGCGGGGTTCTGCACACCACACACAGCCTGCCATGCCCCAACACAGGGAAAGGTACAGCAAAGAAGGGCTTAGAAAAATATTTCTCAAGATTGAAATAGGACAACTGTGGTTTCTGAAAAATCTACTGAGATCTAGGTTTTACACAAAAATTCCCAGCATAGTTCTTTGATCCCTTGCAAGTTACAATAGCATTCAAATAACTTGATTTTCATAGTTTTACTGGTATTATAAAAGGATATATGCTTACTGATTTTTTAAAAATGAAGTAAAAAAATATATGGAAAAGTACAAAGAAGAAAGTGACTGCAACCTGAATCACATTATATACTCCCATTGTATGAGGGAGGGTTCTTTGAGACATCTCTCTCCTCTTTTCCACATGTAGAAATATGCATACAATTTCAAGTACATGGAATAATACTGAACCTGCTGTTTCTGGAATAGTACTGTTGCTGGTAAAGCAGACATCTTTCTGTGGCAGATGACTTGATTCTTGCTAGGAAATCCTAGTGGTTATGAGTAGGGAGAATCATAATAGTTCCAAGGTTTAAATCCTACTCTACTCACTGTGATATTAGGCAAGTGATTCAGCCCTTCTCTCTGTACCTCAGTTTCTTCATATAAAAAAATGGGAATGATAATATTACTTAATCAGAGAGTTGGCGTGAGGGCTAACTCAGACCACATATTTAAGTGTTTAAGACAGTACCTGCAACATAATAAGTACTTACTACATTTTAACTATTCTTCTTAACTAAATACAATTTCAACCTCATGGTAACACTAAAGTGTGTCTTTTTTAAACTTTGCTCATCTTTATTTATTTTTTGTTAATCATCACCCAAGGATATTTTTCCCATTGATTTTTAGAGAGAGTGGAAGAGAGGGAGGGGGAGAGACAGAAACATCAATGTGAGAGGAACACATCGATTGGTTGCCTCCCGAATGCGCCCTGACCTGGAGTGGAGATTAAACCGGCAACCCAGGTCTGTGCCCTTGACCAGGAATTGAACCCATGACCCTTCCGTGTGCGGCCCAACACTTTAACCGCTGAACCACACCAGCCAGGAGTAAAGTTATTTTCTTCATATATGAAAGTGTAATATTTTTTCAAATAACTTCCATCATGATTTTTCAAAACCATTTTTTAAAGTTTATTGATTTTGAGAGAGAGAGAAACATGGATTTGTTGTTCAACTTATTTATGCATTCATTGGTTGATTCTTGTACGTGCCCTGACCGGGGATGGAATGCTCTAACCAACTGAGCTACCTGCCCAGGGCAAAACAATTTTTAACATAAATTATTACTGCTTCTACATGTAATATATACTTTCTCCACTGATGCTGATATTTGCACGCAACAGATACTGTTTTGTACTTATTGATTAATTTACCTGAGATTTTAACAGAAAGAGGTTAACTACCTTTTTGCAGAGGCCTGTTTAAGAAATGTTGAACACAAGGCACCTTTAAGTGAGACTGTTTTACAATGGGCCACCTTTATAAGACTTGAGTCCAACTAAAAATCCCTGTTAATTATTAAGCTCCTATGTTTTATCTAGATACCTGACACTGCAGATTGAGAACAGAGAGCGTTTGTCTCTCAAGTTAAGCCTGAACACTGACGGAAAAATGTAGTTATCAAGGGATTAAAAAACCTAAACCTTTTTCTCTGATATTCAGTAAAGAGAGTGAGGCAGCTCCTGTCTTGGCTGGCATATCTACAGCCTCAACAATCGGTTTAGACCTCGTTTGGGATTCCTGCTTGTTTGAGCATGGCGGAGATTGGAGTTCACGCAATCCTCCTTTTGGTTATTTCTCTGACAAAGTGTCTGGAAGGCACAAAACTTCTGGCCGACTTTAAAAAATGTGCTGACTTGGAATGTGAAAGTAAGTTTTCTTTTTTTTCTTCTTCTCTTCTTAAACTGAGGCTCTGAAATGACATAAAATGTTATTGTAGACACGTCTGATAAAAGTGATCATGAATATCATTGAAAAATATTTTTAATGATAAAGTATAGTTCAGTATAAGAAGAAAATGCTGGAGCAACACATTTTGTGATAGCTTTTATTGTAAATATACAAATGGGCAAAGATCAACCTGATATAGAAATATATCAGAAATTATGAAGATATTAATCCAGACCTCAAGAACAAACTAATCAGCAATTTTACTCTTTTTAGGATAAACATAATTTATATTTAAAAAGCTATCAAGCCATTTAATGGATATTCCTTTTCTCTCTCATGTGGTTTTTAAAATTTATCTTTATTGTTGAAAGTATTACAGGTGTCCTCTTTTTCTCCTCCTATGATGGGTAGTTCCTGATTTATGAAGCCCTTATGGTTTTTAGTTTCTATTTCACAATCAGAACTTTCTGATTCTTATGAGTTTTATAAAAATGTTTTTATTTCAAATCATCAGGATTTACTGTCTAAACTTCATCAAACAATAATTTGTGTTCACTTAAAATGTAAAAATACTGAAATCAGTGTTAAAAGTATATAATTTTATTTATATCCTTGAATATTAAACTTCCTCTATTTTCTACAAAGATAAATTAATTTTATTTTATTCCTTAAGAGCTTAATTTATTCTCTGTTTTTAGCATTCTGGTGCAAAATGAATCCCAGACAATAAACTGGTGATCTAGTAAAAAAAGAATTGTATCCCAATATGTCATAATTGCTTTAAACAAATTCTATCTCTCCAGTATGTGAGAATAACTTCTGATTTACAACATGTAAATTAAAAATGAAAAACATTATTGATATACACAGATAATTTACAAGTAAATTTGTTTATGAATCAACATTTTCCTTAACCATTTGGATATTTAATTTAATATGTGGAGGTTTACTAGATGGTGTTTTTATAAGAGTAATAATCTTTCTTCCCCTTTTTACAACCTCATTTTCGTTTCCTTTGGGGCCAGACACAGAATATGGAATGGGTACATTCAAATTTATAGTAATTTATACTATTATTTTAACTTTCATTGCGTGACTTCATTAAAATGTTTTACATATGTTAGTGTAATTATAATAGTTTATTTGGTAATATACGTTACTTTATGTGTAACATCTAGTATACATGGTTACGATCGTTCATAGTTATTGAGGGCCTATTATATATTCTGGGTCTGGCTGGGGGGTTTGTATCTAAGAGGAATAAAATTAAATGTAAGATAAGCTTCTTGACATCCAGGAATTTTCATTCTTGTCTATGGACAAGACAAGTCCATATTCGACAGTAAATACCGACACAAGGTAAGGATAATAAGTACTGTTGAAGTTCAGAGAAGGGGCGGAGTAAGCTGGATAGATTAGGGATGCGTCATGGGGGAGGCAGGTAGGAGTTCACCATGAAGGGAAACTGACGGGTTTCCAGGCTGAGGAAACGGGAGAGAAGCTCAGGGTATGGAAGGTGGTTGCTACAGTGAAAAGAACCTCCGTGCAAATCTAGCCCCACCATTTATCAGGTGTGTGACCACTGCTCTGAGACTTCAGTAAAGTTTGATTTATTAGACCGAGATGAGTTTATTTACCTCGTAGGTCTGTTTTGAAGATTTAACGAAATATGTTAAAGAGCTTATCAAAATGCCTTGAATTTTATTGGTACCAGGAAAAACACTAATTATGTTTTCTTTCCTTTCCCTGTTCATTGGAGAATGATAATGACACATTCCAGGGACAATGGACAGAGGAGACTGTAAAGGAATAAGAGGAAGTCGTTTTAAGTAAGGAAGGTAGACTAGGCTGTGGACAGCCTTTGATACTGAGCCAAAGAGTTTCGAATTGATTCGGTGTGCAGTAGGAAGTCTGTGTAGGCTTTTGAGGCCATAAATAATATGAAGAAAATAGCATTTGGAAATACATGGGATGGAATGAAGGAGGGAAAGATGGGAGGGAGAGCAATAACATTTTAATTTAAATTCTGTGTTTTTCTTTACATATCTACATAGCTTTAATAAGCAGAGCCTTAGCCGTGAGAGATTACAGAGGACCTGACTGCCTATACCTGAACTTCACTAAGGGAGAAGAAATATCTGTATATGTTAAACTTGCAGGAGAAAGGGAAGATCTGTGGGGAGGAAGTGTAAGTATCTAATCTTAAAAACTGAATGCAGAATAAATGGCCAGCTTACACAAGGATGCCTGCTTTTCATCTCTAAAGGAATTTCAAGAACTTCAAAGCACCTTATATATATGTATACGCACACACACACACACACACATAGTAATATATATTAAAAACCCTTAAATAATTTAAAATATTTTTTAAATTTTTATTTATTGATTTTAGAGAGAGAGAGGAAGGGAGGGAAAGAGAGAGAGAAAGAAAGAAAGAAAGAAAGAAAGAAAGAAAGAAAGAAAGAAAGAAAGAAAGAAAGAAAGAAAGAAAGAAAAAGAAAAAGAAAGAAAGAAACATCGACTTGCGGTTCCTTTTTTTTTAAAACAATTTTTATTATATAAATCCCTTTATTTTTTAAATATATCTTTATTGATTTCAGAGAGAGGAAAGGAGATGGAGAGAGACAGAGACAGAAACATCAATGATGAGAGAGTCGATGAGAGAGTCATTGATCGAGCCCACAACCCAGGCATGTGCCCTGACCGGGAATCGAACCTGGATCGCCTGGATCCCAGGTCGACACTCAACCGCTGAGCCACGCCTGGCTGGGCTGCTGTTCCTCTTGTTTATGCATTCACTGGTTGCCTCTTGTATGTGCCCAGGTTGAGGATTGAATCTGCAACCTTGGTGCATTGGGAGGATGCTCCAACCAACTGAACTACCCAGCCAAGGCCAAAACCTTAACATATTTAAACAAACAAAAAATGGCCATGTTTAGAATTGGTTTCAGGATTTCTATAAAGTAGCTTTTGGGAAGGCAGTCTGGTTGGGATGGAAGTCTAAGAGTGCCTTGAAATTATTTTTACATAGCATGCATAGTTTTTGAACACAGATTACATTTTTTTTTGAGAGACTTTAGAGGTGCTGATGAAGATTATGGGATGACTAGGCAACCCCAGTCATCCCTTGGTGCTGCAAATTGCCAGGTTTAAGAGAGACTAGGATGTTTTAATCAGATTAAAAAACAAGTCTTTCTGAGCAAATAAAGGATTGAGTTGTTATTGAAAAGATCCTCAGATAACCTAGGGAAGACTTTTCATGGAAAAAATGAACAGGGAGAGCCTTCTATTTGGCCCAAAGTCTTATTACACTAAAATTCCTAGAAGCCAGAATCATCTCTCTGAATATATAACACAGAAAAATTCATGATAAGTGTTTTCAGTTGAAAATAAGTTTGGGTATTTGATTATATCATCATGCTTTATAATGAAATGAAAGGACACTCAAAGATTTTTACTATCTTGATGAATCTCTTTTGGTCCTTTGGAGTTTAAACCTTTTACCTTATTTTGACATCCTGAAAATGAGGACTATGTCACCTCTCTGTCTAGCTTTGCCTACTCCCACTACCATTCCCTTGCTGTTTGATATTCCTGATTTGCTAGTGTACATCTGTGGCCCACCTGGGCAGGGAAGGTCAAGGAAGGAGGAAAATTAGTATATGGGATGATTTTCCCTCTGAAGTTTGAAAAAATGGCATTTTACAACTTGGCTCTTTGTTCTCTCAAATAAATGATGTTTCTTTTGAATAACAAAAGGAATATGATTTCACTCACTTTCTTTTAGATAGCAAATAAAACCCAATTAATATATGTGATTGAAATAGATGAAAGCCAAGGACTTGGGGCAAAATTAGTTTCAATAGTTGTTACTGCTCTGATCACTCTTCCTTGCTAATCTCTGTTCTTCATTTTGATAGAAAGGAAAAGACTTTGGATATTTTCCCAGAGACGCAGTCCAGATCGAAGAGGTATTTATATCTGAAGAAATTCAAATACCAACTAAAGTGAGTAAATTTATTATGGTTATTAATTGAATTTAAAATTTCTTGGCTAAAATAGTTTCTGAAGTATAAGTGTCCCCTGATTATATATTTTATAGAGTGAATTCATAAAACAGTTGGCCTGAGAACTCAGTTTAGGAATAGTTTGATTGTGTGACTAAAATTAGGTAAGACTAAGTTATGACAGGTAAACCTTTTGCTTTCTGAAAAATTAACAGACAAGCTGCAGAGTGCAGTGGTTAGGTTCTGGAGCTGGACCAAAGTCAAAGCCTGACTCAGCTCCTTAGTAGCTTTGAGGTCTTGTGGGCCTTAATTTTCTCATTTGTAAGATGAGGATGATGATTATAATATATTGCTACTTCATAAAGGTATTTATTTATTTATTAAAATATATCTTTATTGATTTCAGAGAGAGGAAGGGGGAGAGAGAGAGAGAGAGAAGCATCAATGATGAGAGAGTCATTGATCGGCTGCCTCCTGCATGCCCCCTAACTGGGGATCCAGCCCACAACCCGGGCATGTGCCCTGACTGGGAATTGAACCCCTATCTCCTGGATCCTAGGTCGATGCTTAACAGCTGAGCCACGCAGGCCGGGCCCTCATAAATTTATTGAGGAAAATGTAAGCATAGCTAACATGCATAGAACAGCACTTTAGTGAGAGCTATGTAAATGTTAGATATTATTACTAATGTTATTGTTCTACATGGACAAAATTTATTTCCCATCACACTCTTGTTAAGAAAAATAATATAAATGGAGCCACTTTAAAATGGAGCTGTAGCTGCCATCCCAGAGGAACTGCTTTGCATGTCTTATGCCTCAAAACTTTGGAATATTAAAGCAGGGCAAAATAACCTTTGGACTGGCTCTAAAGCAACATCGTGTCCCAAGGATAACAGGAGAGGAGATATTATGACTACAAGACTAAAAATTAAAAACATTGTTTAGAATTAGCATCACTGTTAGCTTATCTGCACCAATAGCAATGCCTTCCTTCTATTGATGTAATTGTTCCCCTTCCCTTTCTCATAAAACGCCTTGCCTTTTGTCTCCTAATCAGAACACCATTTGGATTTCTGCCTGAATAAGTGATTCCTGAGTAGCTATTCTTTTTTATCTCAAATAAATGCTTGTTGCCTCTTATTGTGAAAGGCCTTTTGTTTTTTAGGTTAACACTCTTATAAGTCTCATATCTGCACAACCTCTTTTTCTGTTGGAGTTTTAAATAACCTTGATAATGTTGGGCTTAATGATGAGAAAGGGAATCGGAAGGCGACTTTTCAATGTGTGGATTTGATTAGCCCGTTTAATTCAGATTCAAGGTTAAGCCAATTTACGTTACGAGAGAGCAGCGTGAAGTGAATCTGCCTAGTTAAGCAAACTGTCTATTTAATCTGGCCCCTGCCCAGCACAAATTCTGGGATTAACTGTCTATTTACTGTGTAATTACTGTCCTGTCAGTTCTATCTCCAAAATACACCTGGAGTATATTGTCTTCTCATCATTCTCACTCTCCCCTTTAGCTCTAATCCAAGGCTCCTCTTAATTGGAATACAACAATAGCCTCCTAACTGACCTCCTTTCCTCTGCTTTTGCCTTCTCCCAACCCATTCTTCAAACAACAAAGAATCTTATAAAAACAAAAAATTGTCAGATGATGTCATTCCTTTGGTTTACAGCCCTTTCATGGCTTTTCATTGAACCTGGAATCAAGCCCTGACTCCTTACCCTGGTTCTACATGATCTCTTTTGCCCGGCTTGCTGACCGTGTCTTAGGCCTCGCTCCCCTCACGCACTATGCTCCTGGCCACGCTGGCCTGCTGACGGTTCTTACAACACGCCAAACTCTTCGCCAGCCCAGACTCCCAAACCGGCTATTCCCTCTGATTGAACTGCTTTCCCCAAGTTCTTCCCTTGGCTAGTTCCTTCTACCCTTCTTAGCTTAAACATCAGTGCCTCAGAGAGGCCATCCATGATGATTCTTATGGAATTACTGCTTCTTAATCACAGCTTCCATTTATTTCCTCCATAGCATTTATCACAATTTATAATTACCTTTTTTCCATTTTGTTTACTGTAGAATTCCAGCACCTAGCACAGTGCAGATCATGTAGTAAACATGCAGAAGTCTCAAAATTTTAGGTCAGGTTCCCTGGGAAATAGACTCTGAGATGGACCTTTGCATCCAAGAAGTTTACTGTGGAGTCTTCTTGGGAATAATAGCACCTGTGAGGGAACAAAAGAAAAGAGAGAATTGGGCAGATAGAGAAACTGAACTGTGATGTAGTTGCAACAAAGGCTTCAGTAGATTGGATAAAGAGCTCTGAAGCTGGGATGTCCTTTCAGAGTTGTCCTGAATAGAGGCAAGGGGTTGGGCCTTTATACCCTTGCATTACTGGCTCATCTGGGGTAGTGTAACTTTGATCTAGGTAGGCTAGTGTATTCCAGAGATAGTTACTATTCTAAGCACTTGATTCATTTAATCTTCAAAACACTCCTCTACAGTAGGTGCCGTCATTATTCTCATTTTACAGATGACAAGACTGAGGCATAGAAAGGTCATATAATTCACTCAAGGTCACAGAGCTAGTAAATGGCGGAGTCAGGATTTGAACTCAGGGTTTGGCTCTGGAGTCTGCTCTTAATCACTATATTGCAGCACCAAACACATTGTAAAATTACAATTCTCAAGTTTATTTTAAAAAATTCTGGGCATCATTCTCATTTCATAATGGTGATAACCAAAGAGCAGTGCATATCAGTTAGAAACTTTCAGATTAAAAAACATAGCTTTACCATTTTTCTTCTTGATGATTTGGTTGTTCTGTGAGATGAGAAAGGGTATCCCTACCTCTCTTGGCTATAAGCAATATCTCAATAAAAGAGGTCTAAATGTCGTAGTGCAACTTTTATCCAGTCCTTCATGCTTTAGAGTCTCTGGTCTGTCTGAGCTGTGACCATGTGCTGTGAAATTCCCTTCCCTCAAATCACCACACAGCTCCATGTGTCCATTCAGTGCAGTCTTAAGAGGAAGAAGATTTTATTGACATGTTTGCCTTTTCACCAGAGTTTGTTTGCAGAGTGTACTCAAAGACTTGTCTCTGCTTCTCAAATTCTTCAACTATTTGATAACAAATAAATCCTAATATAAGATGATTTTCATTAACCTGAAAAGTCAGTTGTGATACAACAGACAGTGTCTGAGATTAGGAAATCTGATTTTAGCTTTGCTCTGCTGTTGAGTTACTTGTGTGGTCTTGGGAAATTCAATCTTTTTTTTTTTTTTCCTTTTAGGAATCTGATTTTCTTTGTCTTCTTGGAATAAGCTACACATTTGAAAATGAAGATAATGAGTTAGACAGTGATGATGGTGAAAGTATATACTCATATGAGGAAGATAAAGACCAAAAATCTAGTGTATATGAAAATGATTTTCAGACAGAACTGGACTTTTATTCAGCTTCTGAAAGTACTTGGTATGAAGATCAATTTCCATCATCAGAGGCTCCTGATGATATCATAAAAGCTAGTGACTCAAAAAATTGGGAAGGAGTAGAAGCTGGAAGTGTGAAACAGGATCCTGTTTCAGAAGAGGATTATGTCCAGCCATCTTCAACTGTGCCTGACGTGAAAGGATGGTTTGGATTCGGAAGGGAACAAGCAGAAAGGAACACTTTTGAATCAGTTATTGAACAAGAAAGCTCATTTCCAAGGAGAAAAATAGCAGAAGATGGGAATGACCTCGAGGAGTTAAATAACGGTGAGCCTCAAACAGAACATAAACAAGAATCTGAATCAGAGCTCAGTTCAGTGCCAAAGAAACAGTCTGAAGCGCCTGAGTCAGAGCACATTCTCAATCCTCAAGCTACTGGTTGGTTTGGCGGTGGATTTACAAGTTACTTAGGTTTTGGAGGTGAGGACACAGGGCCTGAATTATTGTCCCAAGAAAGCAATCTACCACTACAAGATGTTCCTAATTCTGTACCATCTGAGGAAGAACCCACAGTTCCATGTACAGAAATACTATCAGAAAAAGAAGACACAATCCCTAATAATAGCTCAATTCTCAAAACAAGTTGGTTTGATTTTGGTTTTAGTATGCTAGGCTTTGCAAATGCCAATGAAGGTAAAATGATAACATATAATGGAAAAAATGAAGGAGATGGTAAAGGAGATAAACAGGAACATCCTCCAACAAGTGAATTTGACCCTGATAAGGAACAAGAAATAAAAATAATAAAAATTATGGAAACTGAAGATCAATTAGGCAAGGAAGGTGTCTTAGAGAAAACAGACGATTCTGATACCTTACCATATTTTAAAAATTTCTTGTATAATTTTGACAACCCTTGGGACTTTCAGAAGGAAACAGAATTGCTAATTCCCAAAAAGATACTGGATGAAAATAATGTATTTGAAAATGATGAAACAGAAGAATTTTCAGTTGAAAGTGATCCCACAGCTAATACAAAAGTTATGATGTTAAAAAGCAGATACAGTCAGTCAGGTTGGTATAAAAATATCTATAATATAATTTATTTTTAAAATATAATGCATATGTATTTATAAGTACAAATGTCCAGGAATCCATATTCTCAAAATACTTAATAATCAACAACATTATTAACCACCCTTTTATTCATTTCTGATTTATTCTGGGACTTAGATCTTAATATTATAAAATAAAATCCCAAGGGAGAAAGAATGATTGAAAATATAGGAATGTTCCAGGAAAACCTTAAGGTATTTTACAATAAATTTTTATTTTTATTAAAGTAGTATATGTAAACATGTTTAAAAATATAAATAGTGCTAAGGCTTTTTTTTTTTTTTTTAAATCAAAAGAAATTTTATTCTCTCTGTACATCTCTATTCCTACCTCTTTCCCTGGGACAATCATTTCTTCTTCATCTTGCTTTTTTAAATGGTCATCGGAGGATATTTTTTTCATTGCTTTTCAGAGAGAGTGGAAGGGAGAGGGAGAGAGAAACATCAATGTGAGAGAGACACATTGATGGTTGCCTCCCACACATCCCCCCAACCAGGGCCGGGGATCAAGCCTGCAACGGAGGTTCTTGCCCTTGGCTGGAATCGAACCGGGACCCTTCAGTCTGCGGGCCGGTGCTCTAACCACTGAGCTAAACTGGCCAGGACATTCTTCCTTTGTTTTAAAGCAAATTTCTTTTAGTATTTATCTCTATTTTCTAAATAAAATCTTTATATTGTTCAGCTTTGATTAATCTAGTTTAAATGTTCATTGAATTCCTGTTCTGATAGATGGGGATTTTTGCTCATTGACACTCACTTTTTTTTTTACATATATCTTTGTTGATTTCAGAGAGAGGAAAGGAGAGGGAGAGAGAGATAGAAACATCAATGATGAGAGAGTCATTGATCAAGCCCGCAACCTGGGCATGTGCCCTGACCGGGAATCGAACCCTGATCACCTGGATCCCAGGTCGAAGCTCAACCGCTGAGCCACGCCCGGCCGGGTGACACTCACTTTTTAGCTCATTTATACCTTCCCAATATAATTATAGTTGAATGTTTGTTTGTTTTTTTAAAAAGAAACTTAAGCTAAGGGAAACTTCAATAATTCAAAATAGTCTTGATTCCTAAATGATATTTTATTCTAGGTCTGTATTCCCCCCCCCACTCCAAGAAGAACTATGTTAACAAGGGTTTTCTTAAGTGTACAATATAATAAGGAAACTCAAGTTTTCAACCTTTCAATTCTGGGATCAACAGAGGGCAACAGAAGAGAGCATAGTACCATAGGATACTTCTAGATCTAGATGTCCAGATATCTAGCAACTCCTATGAATAAAAACACTGGGATTTTGTTTATATTTTTTTTATTGATTTCAGAGAGAGGAAGGGAAAGGGAGAAAGAAAGAGAAACATCAATGATGAGTCGTCATGGATCAGCTGCCTCCTGCACACCCCCTGCTGGGGATCGAGCCCAAAACTCAGACACGTGCCCTGACCAGGAATCCAACTGTGGTCTCAACTGCTGAGCCACGCTGGCCGGGCGGGGATTGTTTTTTTAAGTAAAGAATTACATGACTTTCGTACATCTCCATTCTGATGTCTCTGTGATGGTCACATTAGAAACTCTGCAAATAAAAGTCCCTCAAAACTGCCAGGCCAGCATGGCTCAGTAGCTGAAAGTCAACCCATGAACCAAGAGGTCAAGGTTCCATTCCTGGTCAGGGCAGGTGCTGGGGTTTGGGCTGGATCCCCAGTGGGGCCTGCAGGAGGAAGCCAATCCATGACCCTCATCACTGATGTTTCTATCTCTCTCTCTCCCTCTTCCTTCCCCTCTCTGAAATCAATAAAGATATATTAAAAAAAATAAAGTCCCTCAAAACTAATTATAATTGTGTATGTGCCCTATTCTCATTTGAATACTCACCAAGTGTTTCATATTTAGAAATTCTCCCAGCATCACTGTATGAAATGATACATTCTACTAAAATGATCTTCAGGAAGCCCTGGAGTTTCTATAAATATGCTCTAGAACATTTTAATGTATTTATATTTTGAATCTTCTATATTTCCAGACCTGGTACTGTTTTGCTTTGTTTTATTTAGTCTTCTTTCCAATTACTCTTATGTACTTTTCACAATATAACTTTAGGATCTAACGAGTTTAGAACAAAATAACTTCCTCTTTAGCCTTTGACAATTTAATTCTCTAATGTCTTAGTCATGAAGCACATCACACCTACACCTTTCTCATTTAGAAAGGAGTTAGAATCTAAAGAAGAAAAAGAGCTCATATTTGGAGAATATTTAGAAATGACATAATTCTGAAAATCATAAAGCTTAGGTTTAAGTCAAGTGAAAATAATACCCCACTGTAATTAAACATGACAATACTATAGGATATAGTAATTTTTCTTAAGATATATTTATTTCAAATGCAGTTTAAAACAATATTTAAAAAAATTAATATAGCCACATATAATTTTGAGTGTAATTAATTATTGAATAAGTCTTTTTTCCCCCTAGTGCCATTAAAAGGCATGGTAGATCTCTATTTGAGTCCTATGCTTACTTACAACAGTCCCATTGTATTCAAACTCCTAATTTGATTGCTGGTTTTTAACTTTAATGTCCACAGAGGCATAATTAAGTTACCCATAAGTGTATGCTTACTTGGGGCTTCCATCTTTTAAACAATGCTAAGTGACAGCATCAAAGTGCTTGTTAAATTATAACTCAAGAGCAAAATTAGACATTAAGTAATTCACTTACAAGCCTTTAATATTGTTTTTCAGGACTGCATTGTTCATTTCTCCTGTTTTTTTTTTTTTTTTTTTTAAATTTATCTTTATTGTTGAAAGTATTACAGATGTCCCCTTTTCCCCCCATTGATCCCCTCCGTCTGCCCCACCCCAGGCCTTCCGCACACTGTTGTGTGTGTCCCTGGGTTATGCATTTATGCCTGTAAGTTCTTTGATTAGTCTCTCCCCACCCACTCCCCCACCCGCGCCTTCCCTCTGAGATCCCTCAGTCTATTCCATGCTTCTGTGTCTCTGGATCAATTTTGTTCATCAGTTTATTTTGTTCATTATAATCCACATATGAGTGAGGTCATGTGATACTTGTCTTTCTCTGACTGGCTCATTTTGCTCAGCATAATACTCTCCCATTCCCTCCATGCTGTCGCAAAGGGTCAGAGATCCTTCTTTTTTACAGCTGCATCGTATTCCATGGTATAAATGTACCACAGCTTTTTTATCCACTCATCTACTGACGGGCACTTGGGCTGTTCATTTCTTCTGTTAACAAGTAACTGAGAAGTAAATCTCAGAGTTCACTTGAATACCATACTTTAGGCTACAACTAGTTAGAACTTTATTTCTTTAATTTTGTTTGATTAGTTAATTCAATCAAGCAATCAGTTTGAAAATTCAATTGTCTTAAAATAAATTAATGGCTATTTCACATGGCGTACACATAAATATATGATGTGACATTACAAACATGGCAAATTTTGACATTTCAAATTTTAAAAATTTAAATTAGTTTTTGGGAAAGGTAAGAAAGGTAATTCTTTTTAAATAAAGGTTCTCAAGAGGTGTGCACATGTATTTTTATTCTAAATTTTAACTTAGGCATATTATCATTTAAAGCTATAAATCATTGCCCTAGCTGGTTTGGCTCAGTGGCAAGAATGTCAGCCTGCAGACTGAAGGGTCCTGGGTTTGATTCCGTCCAAGGCCGTGTGGCACCTTGGTTGCAGGCTCAATCCCCTGCATGTGCCGTGACCAGGGATTGAGCCTGCAACCGAGGTATGTGCCTTTGGCTGGAATCAAACCTGGGACCCTTCAGTCCTCAGGCTGATGTTCTAACCACTGAGCAAAACCGGCTAGGGCTGTAGTTGTTATTTTTATATTCTATTTTTAGTATCAGTATTTTTCCTCTACTGAGCCAACACAAACATACAAAATGTTGTTTTAATGCTGTCAATCTGTTCTTGATAATTTCTAAAATAAATGGGTAATTCCTAATTTAAATGATGGCAAGAATAAATTTTGGACATATGTTGTCTATATTTGTTTTACACAACACACTACAGTAATGTACTTTTAAAACAGCATTTAAGGCCTAGCTAGTTTTGCTCAGTGGTTAGAGCATCAGCCTGCAGACTGAAGGGTCCCAGGTTTGATTCCAGCCAAGGGCACATACCTCAGCTGCTGGCTGGATCTCGGCCCTGGTCGGGGCACATTGGGAGGTAACCAGCTAGTGTGTCTCTCATATTGACATTTCTCTCTCCCTCTCTCTCCCTTCCACTCTGTTTGAAAAGCAAAGGAAAAAATATCCTCGGTGAGGATTAAAAAAATAAATAAAATGGTATTTAAATATTACACCTTCTTGGATAATATATGTATCTAAGAGGAATGAAATCCTATAGGGATCTATTTACTGTTTTATTCTTAGTTATAAGTTTATACTATAGAGTAAACAGAGTTGTTGACAGTTATATTAGTTATTTTTTCTTTTTTAAATAGTTTTCAGGACAAAAGGCAACGTAGAGAATAGATATATAGAGTTTAAAAAAAAAATCTTCATTGGTCAAGGAATAAGGGAAAGGCTATGTGGCAGGCTAAATAATGGTCCTTCAAAGATGTCCTTGTCTTAATCCCCAGATCCTGTGAATATGATACTTTAGAAGGCAAAAGGGACCTTGCAGATGTAATTAAAATAAGCATGCTGAGATGGAGAGATTATTCTAGTGGGGCCCAGTATAATCAGAAGATTTCTTATAGAAGGAAGGCAGGGGTCACACTGAAAGATTAGAAGATGCTGCACTGCTGGCTTTGAAGTTGAAAGATGGGGCCTTGAGCCAAGGGATGAGGGTGGCCTCCAGAAGGTAGAAAAGGCAAAAAAATGGATTCTCCTCTAGAGCCTCTAGAAGGAATACAGCCCTCCCAACACCTTGATTGAAGGATTTCTGATTTCAACGGCTTTAAGAGAATATATTTGTATTGTTTAAGCCAGTAAGTGTTTGATAGAAACTAATACAGGCTACAATTTATGTTTTAATGAAATTTTTCCATAATGAAATATCACAATGATCACAAAGGTCCTAGAAAACAAAAGGGAAGCCCAAAACAAAGCAAGTATTAAAGAGAAAAAATTCTCATTTATTTGCAGATCTGATCTCTGAAATAGATTTACCTATGGGAATTCATGAAGACTTACACTTCAAAACTCCATCATCCAAAGATGGTGATGAAAAGTCAAAAACATCACTAGATACTGAAGGGTCTACTCAGGAGGAAATAGACCTCTTTGAAAATACCCTGCCAGACAGTCAGATGTTATCAACTGATTACTCTTTGTCTTCTCAAAATTACATTGCTCAAAAAGGTAAGAAACAAGTTATCTGTTTTTTAATGCAGCAATTAAGGAAGAAATTGGATTTAATAGTTACATCATAGAAAGTGTTTATTTATTTTTATTTATAAATCCACAGAAGATGCTTCCGAGGGTCACATTCTGAAATTTTTATTTCAAATTGATGTTTATCATTTCATGAATTCTGCATTATCACCAATTGCAATTCTTACAGAAAGGGTAAGTTGACCTTTTAAATCCTTTGCAATAATTTTACCTATTTTGCTAAATATAGGAGGAGCTGAAATTATGTTTGAGTGAATCTTCCCTATGCAAACACTATATAATATTTCTCTTCCCCTAAAGTGTTACAGGTAAGGTATATCCTTACATGAACATTATGTTGCATGGATATTGTTCAGGATTTCTTTTTCTTTTCGTTTTTTTGAGGGGGTTGATGGGGTTGTTTTATTTTTTAATTGAATTTATTGGGGTGACATTAATAAAATTATATAGGTTTCAAGTGTACAATTCTATAATACATCATCTGTATATTGTACTCTGTGTTCACCACCCACAGTCAAATCTCCTTCCATTACCCTTTATCCCCGTTTACCCTCAATTACCTCCCCCCACCCCTTCCCTCTGGTAATCACCATACTGGTGTCTTTGTCTATGAGGGGTTTCCCCCCCTCTTAATCCCTTTATTTTTTTTCTCAACCCACAACCTCTCGCCCCTCTGAGAGTTGTCAGTCTGTTCTCCGAATCTATGAGTCCATTTCTATTTTGTTAGTTTATTTTGTTCATTAGATTCCACATATGTATTCAGAAATCCATAGCATTTTAATACACTAATAATGAACTATCAGAAAGAGAAACTAAGACAACAATCCCATTTACTATTTAAAAAAATTTTTTTTTAAATTGATCTTTAGAAACAGAGAAAGGGAGAGGGAGAGAAACATCAATGTGAGAGTGAGACATCTATTGGCTGCCTCATGCACGCCCCCTACCTGGGGATCCAGCTCACAACCCAGGCTTGAGCCCTGACCAGGAATCGAAGTTGAAACCTTTTTGTGCATCCAAGGGACAATGCACAACCAACTGAGCCACACTGGCCAGGGTCCCATTTACTATTGCAACAACAAAAAAAATAAGGTACCTAGGAATAAATTTAACCAAGGAAGTAAAAGACCTATACTCAGAAAACTACAAAACATTCAAGAATGAAATTGAGGAAGATACAAATAAGTAGAAGCATATACTGTGTTTCTGGATAGGCAGAATTAACATCATTAAAATGTCCATACTACCCAAAGCAATCTATAGAGTTAATGCAATTCCTATTAAAATACCAATGGCATATTTCACAGATCTAGAAAAATATTCTAAAAATTTATATGGAACCCAAAAAGACCTTGAATAGCCACAGCAATCTTGAGAAAGAAGAACAAAGTTTTAGGTAGCACAATACTGGATATCACACTATATTACAAGGCCACTGTAATCAAAACAGCCTGGTACTGGCATAAGAACAGGCATATAGATCAGTGGAACAGAACAGAGAGCCCAGAAATTAACCCACCTACAGGGTATTCCAAAAAATGTATACACACTGTAACAGCTGATAGCTCAATTTTGGAATGAAATGTATTTTAATAAATACTGCCTTCATAATTATTCAAAGTTTATGTGTAGATTTTTGGGGATAACCTATATTTATGGTCAATCAATATTTGATAAAGGAGGCAAGAGCATATAGTGGAGTAAAGACGGTCTCTAATAAATGGTGCTGGGAAAATTGGACATATACATGCAAAAAAATGAAACTAGATCACCAGCTCACACCATACACAAGAATAAACTCAAAATAGATAAAAGACTTGAATGTAAGTCACAAAACCATAGAAATCCTAGAAGAAAACATAGGTAATAAAATCTCAGACATCTCTTGCATAGCTATTTTTACCAATATGTCTCCTAAGGCAAGGGAACTCAGGAAAGATAAACAAATGGGACTACATCAAGCTAAAAAGCTTCTGCACAGAAAAAGAAACCGTCAAAAAATGAAAAGAGAACCCATGGTATGGGAGAACATATTTGCAAACAACACATCTGATAAAGGGTTAATATCCAAAATATATAAGGAACTCATACAACTTAACACCAGGAAGACAAACAATCCAATTAAAAAATGGGCAAAGGACCCGAATAGACATGTCTCCAAAGAGGACATACAGATGGCCAGGATACATGAAAAAATGCTCAAGGTCACTAATTATCAGAGAGATGCAAATTAAAACTACAATGAGGTATCACAAACAACAAGTGCTGGCATGAATGTGGAGAAAAGGGAACCCTAGTGCACTGTTGGTGGGAATGCAGACTGGTGCAGCCACTGTAGTAAACAGTATGAAGTTTTCTAAAAAATTAAAAATGGAACTGCCTTTTGACTCAGCGATCCCACTTCTGGGAATATATCCTAAGAATCTGAAACACTAATCAGAAAGGAGATCTATACCCCTGTGTTCACAGCATTATTTACAATAGCCAAGGTCTAGAAACAGCCCAAATGCCCATCCGTAGAAGATGGGTAAAAATCACGTGGTACATTTACACAATGGAATACTACGAGGCCAGTCATGTAAAAGGAACTCTTACCTTTTGCGACAGCGTGGATGAATCTGGAAGGTATTATGCTAAGTGAAATAAGCCAGTCAGAGAAAAATAAATACCTTATGATCTCACTTATATGTGGAATCTAATGAACGAAATAAACTGGTGAATAAAATAGAACCAGAGGCATGGAAGCATGGAACAAACTGACAGCTGTCCGAGGGGAGAGGGGTGGAGGGACTGGATGAGATAAGGTGAAGTGATTAGCCAGAGAACATACATGCATAACCCATAGACACAGACAACGGTGTGGTGATGGCCAGAGGGAAGGGGGGAGAGGGCTGGGTGGAAGTGGGCAAAGGTGGG